AAAACTCGGACACTTGATATTTCGATATTTTTTTTAAATAATTTAATAAACTCGGACAAATGAAAACTCGGACAGTTGATTTTATCTAATTATTATTTGTTATTTATCAAAACTCGGACAGTTGAAAACTCGGACAAATGATTTTTCAAATATTTTGTAATTTTTAACAAACTCAGACAGTTGAAAACTCGGACAAATGAACCTCACCCTTCAAATAACTTGTAACATAATCATTTCAATGACCGTATGAAACCAGCGGATCGTTAAAACAGCACTGAAACGACTTCAATTGTTAACGTCGTCTGCTAGACTTTTTAAATATTTAAACATAATTTCTAAAAAAAACTAAACCCTAAACTAAAATTATGGCATCGACATTCCTTTACTTTCATAATTATGAAATATGATAATAAAGAAAGATAATTATCTTTCTTTCAACACAAAAGTGATTATAATCCGTCAAGTCTTCATTGATTTTTGTTATAAAGTAAAACATATGGATTGGACAAATACTTCTTTAATGGTACATTAAGGATCTTATGTTTTGATTCTAGCAACGTCTGATTGTTTGTGGGTTTCCAAACTAAATTTGTCCAAAAATCTATCAACTAATTTGGCCGAAGTTTTATGAATTAATACTTTTGGAGCTAACTAATTGATTGTCGGATGCCAGTTGCAAGAGTCCTTAACACGTTCAGTGCGGCATACCCTTAAACAGGTGCTTGCCTCGCTAACTAAATCAGCGATCGCTATTGGTATTGAAATATCTCAGTAAGACGAATCACAAAAGAGCAGTTGTGATTGTTCTGCGTTACCCCGAAAGTGGACGTAGTTCACTGAAACACCCAAAGGTAGCAGCACTGCCTGGATCAATAACCAGAGTCTTTGTAAAATGGCTCGAATAGAAAAAATTTGCGAAAACGGGACAAAAGCATTGCCGGACAGGATTTTACGGGAAATTTTAGTACCAACCTACACCAGAATAAAGCTCGCATTCTAAGCTACAACCATTTGGCGCATAATAACGCTTCAATATACTAAATCTTTTTTAAGCTCTACCAAATGGTTTGGAAAGAAATTGATTAATTTTATGTTTTTTAGGTCAAAAATAGGAAAAACCAATTTTGACCCCATAAAACCCTCCAAAAACCCCCGTTTCCATGGTCCAATCATGCTGGTTTGTGAACTTGTTTGAATAAATGTAGGTTTACACGTTTATATCAAATTTCATCAAAATCGGACCATATTTGCTCCAGTTATATATATATATATATATATATATGAATTTGAACATATGGTGTTTTTAGCCACTAGGGACCTCAAAACGAAAAAGTAAATCGGTCCCGGGTCCAGGTCTTACCATGAGTACTACGGTAATAGCTTATTCCCTATATGGGAAATTTGCTAAAAGTATAAATTGTAATAACAGCAATGTTGGGGAAGTTCTTTTAAAATGTAGCTAGCTACAACTACGGTAATGCTACATTTCCCAAAAAGTAGCTTAGCTACAGCTACAGCTACAGTTCCGAAAAAGTAGCTAGCTACAACTAAAACTACAATGAAATGTAGCTATAGCTACAATTTTAGCTACTTTTCCAAAGACGTTACTTTTATTCCACGCACATTAGGTAAATGTAAAATTAATTGCAACAACGATTTTATTGAACAAACACTCTAACAACAAAATATCGGTATTGTATCTAATATTACTTGGAAAACAACTTATTCCTAGATTTTATTTAATTTGTTGGCATCATAGAACTAACATTACAACAACACAACCAAAATAGTTGAGTACCATCATATTTAGTACTTATTTTTCAATATTGCATTATTTTTAACCCTTCCAGGGCTTAATTAAATTAAGGGCTGAAGCTTAATTATTTTTTGCCAAAAATTAAAAACTAAAGTGGTTGTGTTTTGTATTTATTTCACTCTGAAATAATTCATGGATCATAAAAAGATTTTCCTTAGGGCTAAACTAATTTTTGTAAAAAATGTATGAAAAAATAAAATTTTATTTGACGGATATATTTGTCTTTGGCCACAAAAAACATATGGTGGGCGGATATATCCATCTGCCGCCCTCAGTGATACTCACAAAATATGAACACTGCCAATAATCTTGAGTATTCTTGTGGGCGGCAGACGGATATATCCGTCAACCTTAGGTTATTCCTTCCCTTGTTTTATTTTTTATCCATAAAAATTATCTAACATTCTGAAGTAAATCTAAACCACTCAGTTCCGCTCTCATGTCCTCAATCCCATTCCCCGCCAAGACTTCCACTACGTAAAGACTGTTCTTCAGGTTCTTCATATCCATCACATTCCTTACTATTATTTTCAGTGCCAAGTATAAAACCCCTCTCAGACATACTTTTATTAAGCATCTCAATAACCTCTTCAAATTTCAGATCGTTTGCATTAGTATTTTTAGCTCAAAAACATAAAAATAAATAAAAATAAAAGTACAAAACACAAAATGTAAACATCACTCACTAACAACCATGTGTGAAGTGACAGCAATATTTACTTACGCACACTCTATGGTGCATAATAGCCGAAACAGCTGCGACAATTGTTATTGCCGACCACAAAAACCAAATAACCCATTTATAATGCAGTGTAATGTTTATTACCGTATTATAAACATTGTATATCAATTCGTTTTTTGGACGGATATATTCGTCTTTATCCCAGAAAAGAAATTTCTCGGGACGGATATAGCCGTTTTCAGCCCGGAAAGTAAACAAAGATTGACGGATATATCCGTCCATAGCCCTGGAAAGTTTAAGCATCTTATATGTAAATTTCATTCAATCAAACTATATATTAGAAGCTCATTTTATTTCTTTAATGTACATTCATTTATATATGTCTTATATCAACTATCAAAAACAATAAAACTGTAAAACGATTGTTTAAAAATACTTTTTTGTGTTACAGTGCCTAGCCTACTGAAATTGGAGTTGATTGCCTTTCTTTGTTTTTAATGTTAAAACCGACATTGCAATAACTTTTAACCATAGTGATAAGTTACTTGTTTTATGAATAACACTTATTAATGTCAAGAAATCGTCCTTTGTCATTATGCACAGGGCAAATTGTGCTTCAACAAACGTTGGTGCAGAAACAGTATTCAGCAACTTATCCTGAAATCGGCTTTTTAATTTAAACATGTTGAAAATTGTAAAGTAAAAATAACATTTAGGCCTAAGTTACTTGGCTATGTAACAAGTTGGCTATAATGGGCTTGTGCTTACAAGGACTAAATTTCTATTAATTGAACTTGGTATTCGTATTAATCCAATAGCATAGCCTAGGAATAGTCCTTGACAAGAGCTGTTAGCAGGAGCAAAGCAAACTAACTTATGTTGTTTTTTTTTTCAATGTAAGTTTCATGTTATATGGAGATTTTTTCGTTACAATTATTATGTAGTCTAGACATATCTTAAATCTCATCAGGTAATTTCCTCTTCGTTAATTTAGTAAACTTTTGAAAAATCTTCGTAATCCAACCAAGAAAGGGCTTGTGATGATGAACCACAATCAACAGCTGAAGCAAAGGTTGATAGACCAGCTTTCTCATTATTTTAAGGTTTATTGTTGGTTTCTATTAAAACCCAAGTTGAAACTATCGATAAAATAAAGAAACTAAATTAATTACTAATTTCCCTGTCAAACACTTGCAAGCATTCAGCTTCTTTTGTCACCGGTAACGTTTAAATGTCGTCTGCATCTAGCGATTTTATTTTATCTGACTGTAATCATAGAGTAAGCAAATGAAGGAAATAAGAGCCAAAAATGTGGATAACACTCAGATAGTGGCCTCCATGTCACACAACGTTGTAAGAGGTAAGAAACAGCTGCGACCAGCTGTATGAAGCCAAGAAAGTAGGCCTAATTTTCTCGAAAATCTCAGTTTGTAAGAGGTTAATTCACGCAAGGTTGTGATAAAAGTCACTATCTCAATTTATGTTATAATAAGCTATTAATATTTTAGCACTAAGCTATTAATATTTTACTAAAAAACACACTTTATTACCCTCCCTGTAGGCAACAAACCTAGGTACTCATTAAACCTAATGTTATTTGAATGATTTAATTGAAAATCAAATCAGGCAAATGGAAATTTGCTTAGTCTGCAGGTTTGCTGCGGCAGGGGTATTTTATATTTTTCATCCACTGTTTTCGGTATTGGTGAGCGTATAAAAGTACAATATGTACTTAAGCATGATAAAATATTATTCCCTACATTTTCTTAGACTGCACACATAATATGTTTACACATTGCAAAGTTATCACTAATACTGCAATTTAATTTATATAATACGTGAAGGTGATTTCTACGAAACACTACTCCTCCATTAATAATGGACGGATTTTGACAAACGATGTGTCAAAATTAACTATTTTTTGTGTAGACGCCCCCTTTCACCAATTCCTGTAACAAAAGTCCTTGGGCTTTGCCCCACAGGCCATCAAAATCCCAATGTATTTCTTATGAAGAATAGATTTTGTTTACTTAAACAGACGAATAATTTGTATTAATTACAGCTCTTCATAGTAAACACATGATACACTCGTTTTCATAAGCGTTCGTTTTCAGAGTGAGTTAGTCTTTAGTTTCGATAACTGGAGTGGAGTGATTTATTACATTATCTTTGAGTTGACTATTTTAAGCCATTGGAAATTATGACTATTATTTGTTTTGTAATAACGCCTGTAATTCTTTGCAATTGCTCAAATTCGAGCAACAGGTGCACTAGTTAAATTTATTGTATGTTGTAATGAATACATTTTTATGGTGAATTATAAGTGTGCCTGTTTTATATACTTTTAACTGTTAAACCTATTAAACGTTCCGAGCCTTCTAGTACTTTTATTAAAGTCAATTAAGATTTTCATACAAAAAGGCTAGATTAGTTCCTAATATAACTTAAAACTACTTATAGGTCAAATGAACTTTACATGACTAATTGCTGGTTACTGTGTAGGTTGATGGCATGGATGTATTAGCTGTCAAGTCAGCTAGTCAGTTTGCAGTAGATTATTGCAAGTCAGGCAAGGGTCCTCTATTGATGGAGACTGCCACCTACCGCTACAGTGGACATTCCATGAGTGATCCTGGTACTTCCTACCGTACTCGAGATGAGATTCAAGAGGTTCGCCAGACTCGAGACCCCATCACCTCATTCAAAGATAAGATTCTCAACTCAGGCCTTGTAACTGCCGAAGAACTTAAGGTAGCTATAAACAAATTAACAGAAGAACTCAGCATATATTTATATAGTAAATAAACGGACATGTTATTTAAGTTATTATCAAAATGTATATCACAGAGAGCTGATTATGTAAACATATTGGAATCTGAAGTCATTGAGATATTTAGGCCAGCTGCATACATTAAAACAAAGAGAAACAAGTAGACACTTTGGATACATCTTCTTCTACTTCTTTTTATGTAGATTGTTTATGGAATATCTTTATACATATTTGCCAAATTTACCTATTTTACAGTTGGCCTAAAAAATTATTCAAACAAATATTATAATTAGTTTGTGTTAGTTTACACGTTTTCTTCAAAACGAGTATTTAAAGAATAAGTATGTTTAACATAGATCATAGGGCTTAGGTTATTAGGATTTTTAGTGAGAATAGCAGGCTTCTGAATGGGAAATAGTCCAAATTGGCACAACAAACACACAACTTTATACTATATACACAACACATTAGAGTATTTCACTGTCACTGACACTATTTTCAACTAAGGAAGAGAGTTTTTCAGACCTAATGGTGGCCAGCAAGTTAAATAGAAGAATGTTTATAAAAAACCTCTACTTGCCTGAAAGATACAATATCACCTAATGTGTTATTATTGTAAATTATTGATGTTACGTTTACGTCATTTATAGAAATTCGATGGGGAAATTAAGGCCCAAGTTGATGCTGCTGTGAAATCTGCCAAATCTGACCCAGAAATAGGAATGGATGAACTTCCTGCTGATATTTATGTTGAGAACTTGGAAGGCAAGATCCGAGGAGTTTTACCATGGCAGCTTCTGGACCACAAGCGTATTGGCCCAGCTGTCAACGCCTAACTCTGCATAACCCTCGCAATAACTACACTCTGTTACAACCAGGCTAATCAGTGAAACATGGTACAAACTGCAAACCTTTTGTAGCGTTGGTATGAGAATTATGTGTTCAATATAGGATTATTAATGTAAATAAGCTTTGTACAAGGTAACAGTTACCGGACTATTGTGTTTTATAAATTTGTTATTTTGTTATTCTTTTGGTGTATACAATAGAAATTTTACAAGTTTTTATCTGAAAAAAAGGAATTTCATTTGAGAAGATCAATACAGCACAACCTTATGTGTCAAATACACAATATTTAAAGTCAACTAAGTAAATATTCGTGTTTTTATTATTCCTTCTCTCTATGCAGTGTAATTTTGCTTTGCCTTGTGTAAATATGCTTACATTTTTGTTTCTTGTTCTTTTACTTAGATAACTTTTATTTTACAGTTCAAACTTTATTTTGCAGTCGCTTTTCCTACAGTTTTTGGCCAGAATATTATAGAATTTGTCTGTTACTTTGTTTAGAAACATATTACATTGGGCAATCTGAATTAATCAAGTGTTGATGTAATAGCAATTGAGATTAATTTGTTAAATCAATCACATAACCCTAATTTAAAATTATATACTTCTTACCCCATACTTCCATAACAGCTATACCAGCACATCTACGGTTAGGGTGATGATTGATCAAATACCTAATGCCAAGAGAATGTTTTAAAGGAATGTATTCCAATCATTTTACTGTTAAGTATGTAAATTTGCTTTTATATCAATATTTGTATGGGGATTCTGCACTTAGTTCATTCCAAGTGTTAATTGTTATTACCTTAGCTTTACGATAGATTTTAAATCTAGGATATGATAGGCTATTTGCATTTAATTTTTTATACATATTTCTTTTTAATAATTCCAGAAAGAGATCACTTCTCTCATAAAATTTAATTAATATTATCTGCGCAAAAAAATTACAAGTCAGTGATAAGTTAATGGTTTTCACTTAAAAACAGACAATTTTCAATTGAACTCAGAGCAATAGAAAATTGAAAATTAATTCAAATATATATAACGGATTTTGAAGTCACTAAGTGACTGCTAGTATTAATTATTCTTAAAATACCTTGTTATTCTTTTGATAGATTATCGATTCACTAATATAATATTAATTACATTCTTTTATTTGTTGGTTTTATTTAAATCTTTTAAGAAATGTTAAGTATTGAGTGATACATCCACAAATTTATTTTTTGTCTTAAGTCTTAAGTCAAGATCAGATTTCAAAGACAATTCTCCTGATTTCTCTAATTGTATGTACAACATGCAGAAATGTTACATTTTTATACTGTACAAAGAATCTGTATTTATTGATTCTTGGTTTAAAATCAAGAGTCGATTGTTAGTCTTTGTGTTGAACATTCAAAATGTAATACATAAGGAAATAAATTGATGATATTTATTCTCAAGAATTTATTCCCTTTACTGTATTCATAATAAATTTATAATGGAAACATGGTTGTCAAATAATTGTACAGGGTGAATAAAAAGTCGAGACCCCCCTCTCTAATATTTTTTCAAGTAAATATACAGAGATATCCTTTTGGTGGTCGAGCAATCTTAGCAGGAAGTTTCATTTTATCATTTTGAAATTTTTGAGTGTCCCCCCAAAAGGGGGGATTTGGGGGGCAACTCAAATATTTTAAATGTAAACCCCCTTCAAGTGACACCTCATTTTGAAGTGTTTACAAAACCTTAAAGAATAGTGAAAACTAGAGGTCACTATCTCTTCTCTATCCAAAATGGTAGCCCGTCAAATGTTGTGGAAAATCAATGGTAAAATTGTTAATATTGGTTGTCATTTTAAATAGAGAAGAGATAGCGAGCTCTGGTTTTCACCATTCTTTAAGTTTGTTTAAGCACTTCAAAATGAGGTGTCACTTGATAGGGGTTTCTATCGAAACATTTTTAGTTGTCCCCCGAATCCCCCCTTTTGGGGGACACTCAAAATTTTTAATGTATTTCCCCTTCAAGTGATACCTCATTTTGAAGTGTTTACAAAAACTTAAAGAATGGTGAAAACCAGAGCTCGCTATCTCTTCTCTATCCAAAATTACAACAAATATTTACAATTTTACCATTGATTTTCCACAACATTTGACGGGCTACCATTTTTGATAGAGAAGAGATAGTGACCTCCAGTTTTCACCATTCTTTAAGTTTTTGTAAACACTTCAAAATGAGGTGTCACTTGAAGGGGGTTTACATTTAAAATATTTGAGTTGCCCCCCAAATCCCCCCTTTTGGGGGGACACTCAAAAATTTCAAAATGATAAAATGAAACTTCCTGCTAAGATTGCTCGACCACCAAAAGGATATCTCTGTATATTTACTTGGAAAAATATTAGAGGGGGGGGTCTTGACTTTTTATTCACCCTGTATAGTAATACATTTTGTCTAATGATTGTAATAATAACAGCTCTGGTTCTTATATTTATTTTTATAGGTATTGACCCTAACCAAGATTAACAATCAAAATAATTTGTGAAATTTATTTTTTTAAGAGGGTGATGGCCTCTTTTACTCTGCATTTGCCTGTCCACATGGGCCACAGAGGCCTGTGCATGGAACCAGCAAAGTAAGGGGTGTGCCGGTACATTACAAGAACAGGCGTGAAGTGTAGTGTACTGGTAAAAAGAAGTGGCAGGTACCAGGATCCGAATCCACGACATCGTTGATTTGGGCCCGAAGTCCGTGGTGCTACCGATTGAGCCATCGACTCTCCAATGACAAAGAATTATTTTTTTCTCTACAATGACGTAAAAGCAATTGTAACTGTTGAAAATGCCTGCCTTTTAGTGAATTTCCCATATAGGGAATAAGCTATTACCGTAGTACTCATGGTAAGACCTGGACCCGGTGTTCAGTAAACTTGAACCATTCATATAATTTAACACTCTATGATTTATTAAATGTACAATATCTTTTCCTTGCAACATGTGTTCTTAATCAAATTAAATTATTCTCTATTGTTAACATATGTTGTGTATCAAAATGTAAATAAAACAGAGTTCTTGTTTTCTTGTAACCATTAAATGTGTGTTCATTTCTCTCTCTCTCATATTCATTAATCTTAATACAGTATCTCCATCTCTCAACATAATATTACCACTCTGTTCCTTCAAACTAATTCTAGTTAAACCCTTTCTCATTTCTATTCCTATTCCCCTTTCTCGATCATTCCCTATAATTTAATATCATTCATTCTCTACAATCATTCACCTGGGACCGATTTACTCTTTCATTTTGAGGTCCCCAGAGGCCAAAACACCATCCGTTCAAATTCATATATATATATATCCGTTAGCACGATAACTTGGGCAAAAATGATCCGTTTTTGATGAAAATTGTAAACGTGTAAACCTACATTTTTCGGACGAGTTTGCCAACCAGCATGATCGGACTATGGGAACAGGGGTTTATGGGGGGTTTTATGGGGTAAAAATTGATTTTTCCCATTTTTGACCCTAAAAACGTACAATTTTGCAATTTATTTCAAACCCGCTTGTAGAGCTTAAAAAAATAACAAATTTAATTTAATATATTGAAGCTTTATAAAATATTCCAATGTTATTCTTATGCTAACTGTATTTTGCTTGTTTATGAACATATTTTGATCAAATTTGGAAAATGTATTCATTTCATACCTACTAAACTATTAACATTTCACAAAAAAACACGTTTCACCCTCCCTGTTGTTGCAAACCTAAGTACTCGTTAAACCAATAATGCTATTTAAATGGGGAAATAGATGTGGTATATTTAAGGAGAGCGATATTTTGGAGTTAATCCAATCAGGCAAATGGAAATTTGCTTAGTCTGCAGGTTTGCCCCTCAAACTTCTTTAGAATCCCCTAGAATATTATAGGAGGGCATTTTGTACACTTTCTGTAGACTTAATATTTACCGTGATGCAGCTTTTCAAACATTATTAATATTTTCGTACTTTGCAATTTTTAGCAATATTTTATTGATTTTCACACTGCATCTTCGGGAAATATACCCTCCTATAATATTCTAGGGGATTTTAAAGAGGTTTGAGGGGCATATTTATCGTCAGATTTTGGCTTTTCATTATATGAGTTCAGGGAGAAATCTCAAAATTTCCGTTACAACTAACTGGTAGTACAGTCAATCCATATCCAAAGTGGACAAAAATTTTGTCCGAGGAATTTCATCTGAAATTTATGTTTTGTTTTTTGAGGTGCCGAATTTGAATCTGAAGTTGTCCATAAAATATTTCTTGAGCGTTCTAAGATATTCGCAAAAATAGTGAAATTCTTTGCACTTTTTTCAGGTTTTATGTTATAAGTCGAAAACTAGCCACTTTTACCACATGTGGACCTGATAGATCCTGATGACGACCACGAGGAACTCGACGATCACAACCTGGAAGTGGATGATCGCCAGAGCCACAGCTAGGACCATCTCAGTAGGGCCTAAATGCCCCTCTGCTGAGCACTTGATTATGTGTACAATGTGTAGAGATAATGTAAATTATGTAGAGATAATTAATATAAATTTGTGTTAATAAATGCTAATCATAATCATGGAAACAGACCGAGACCTCTCAACATCATTTATCACATTCTGCACAAGAAAAGTAGAACAGAACTGAGGAGTGAGTGGTGGGGGGGGGGGTAAGGGGGTTGAGATGGTTATGGGGTAGAAGGGGTGCGGTCATCAACTTCCATTTTGTATATGTGGTAAAAGTTGCTATAATTCTTAGTTTTCGACTTATAATATAAAAACTGAGACAAAGTGCAAAAATGTTGCTATTTTTACGAATATCTCGTTAATTTTAATTAAATAAACGCCTGGAGATACCATGAATATTTGAACCTACATACCAAATTTCACCAAAATCTGACTACAGGTCCCTAGTAGCACAAATATATATTAAATACATATGAATAAATATATTTAAAATCTATTTTATATATCTCAAGTGTGTATTATTGTCAATTTTATATCATATTTAAAATATATTAAATATATAAAAAATATGTTTTTGAATCTATTAAATATTTAAAAAATATGTTCCAATAATAGGCTATATTTTAGTGAATAATATTTAAATAAAAAATGTATTTAATATCTCTTTCAAACATACCATGGGGCCTAAACATAAAAACATAAAATAATGAAGATTTAGTATGAAAAGCACAATTATCAGTTAAGTAAATTGATTAAATAGTTCATAAAAACAAATTTTGAAAAAATTACTGGATAAAATTTTGTTAGCCCGGGTGGGTCTTGAACCTGGGTCCTTCGACTTATGAGCCTCTTACCTTACCTCTGAGCTACTTGTGACTGTTGTTGGCTTTAGTTTTCAAATGGTGAAAGAGTGGCCGTCAGTTGCAATGGTTGCAATACTTGAAAAATTTTTGATACTACAGTATAATATGATTCTGTTTTTCTGTAATTCGTTTCTTAAAAGGTCGCCAGTCACTAGCACCCTTTTCTAGCCAATCATTCGAGATTTCTATGATCACATTCATTGTCACATATTGCAATTTAAAAAATAAAACCCATCAACACTTTTTTTCGTTTGACCCAAATGTAGGCTGTCGAACATGTATACTGCCTCTTAACTATATGCGTAATTTTTTCTTTACCTGCATGATAGAGTGACACCATTCAGAGTACGTATTATTATTAACTTAATTTTAACGCTTTCACAATAGCATCATACAAAAAATGCATGTATAAATTGATAGACACTATAAAAAACAAAAAGATGCAAATTATTTATTTGCTAATTATAAAAGATTATAGGCTATATATTCTACAAATATATTATTATTTTATTAATAAAAATATCTGACGTGTTTCAAAATATATTTATAAATACTTTAAATATATAATATAGATTCAAAAATATGTTATATATATATATTTAAAATATTCTCAACACATAATTTTTTTAAATATTTAATAGGAAAAATATACATATAAAATATGTATATTATAGATTCTATACTTATTTGATCAATATATATTATGAATCTATTTTATATATTCAAAACTTATATTTAATTTATATTTTGCATTGCTTTTTGGTAATATTTTAAATATATATTTGAATATATCAAACTATTATTAAAGATATATTATTTATATATTTTATTCGAGGTTCTATCAAATACAACTTTAAATATATAAAATATTTATAAAATACATATTTGTGCTACTAGGGGTGTGGTATGTAGCTCTGTACACATACACTACCGGTACACAGACATCACTTTGAAAACCACTTTTTGGGTTCAGGGGGACCCAAAACGGCCCCCAAAACAACTCCTAGGCGGGTTACACACCGGTGTCGCGGATATGATGTCGCCGATATTTTTCGTGTCCGCGACATGCCCCTCGAAAACCAACCTATGTTATCTTATGGAG